ATCTCATTGCCATCCAGGTTACGTGTCACGAGTGGGTCAGTTCTCTTCACTGCTGTAGCACCCCTTCCCAGCCAGGACTGGGACCGGGGCAGGATGAGCGCGGAGGAGCAGAGCTGGTGGCAGCAAAGCGGCCCCGCAGCACATGAGCACCCATCGTGGCCGTGGCCTGCCGGCTGCCCCGGCGCTCAGCACGCAGGAATGCCGTGAGTTTGCAAAGTGGTTTCAGCGAGACGTTATCTAATGGAGGAGGAGGAGGAGGGCGGATTAAGCCAAACCCACAGCACCAGCTTTCAATTAAACCAGGCAAATTTACGGCTTCTCCTTCTGACACAGTAAACACACGCTCCGACAGCCGACGGGGTCCCGACCCAGCATTTCCCCTCCGTGCCCTGGCAGGCGAAGGGAGCAGCATCCCGCGAGTTCTCTCCCCATGGCAGTGAGAAACCCTCTGGGCTTTGCATTATTTACCACCGCACAAAGTGCAGGGAAATGTGGGCGATGCCGCAGCGGGCATCGCGCCCCAGAGCCATCCCGCCCCAGGGACCCGGGCTGTGGGAACAGGGAAAGGGTGGGGGGAGAGATGGAGACCTGGGAGAAGAAATGCCCCAGCAGCATCCACTGGATGGGAGAGATGCAGAGAGCCCGGGGGCTTAGGGTAACGCAGCAGCACCCTGGGATGGAGGGTGCTGTGGTCCAACAAACGGGTGATGCTTGGTGCAGGCAGCCCTGGTGCCAGGCTCAGCCCTCCCTGGCTGCCCGATGGCCTCCCCCCCACGGCAGCTCCTCTCCACGTCCGCGCTTCGGTCCTGCACGTCCCTGTGCCTCAGTTTCCTCCTTGGAGCAGGGAAGGGTGCAGGCTTTCCGGGGGTGGCGGGAGAAGGGCGAGCCGGATAAGCCAAGAGAGGATCTCGCAACCGAGGCCGGGAGCATCCCGCCGGCGCTGCGGACCGGGGTTGGGTGCGAGGTGCACCCACACGTGTGCCAGGGCACGCCTGGCATCTGCTGCCAGCAGCCCAGCCCTGCCCAGCCACCTCCTCCGCCCGAGATGGGGGGAGACAGCAGCAGCCCCTCACCCCTCACTCCACAGCAAAGGCGTCCGGCGGGACCAGGACAGTGCATCCTGCCACCCCGACCCCAGCACTGCCAGGCACCCAAGGGTCCCTGAGCCCCTTTGGCCACGGCGGAGGAGACCTGGGCATCACGCTGATCCCTGGCTATGGGAGATGAGGCAGCGGTACCCAGGTCAGTGGCGTGGAGGGCAGCGCAGCCTCCCAGCCCTGCCGTGCCGCCAGCAGCACCCACACCCCGGATGCAGGCACCTGGCCAGGAAGGTGACAGAGGAGCCCGGCGAGGCTGCCGGGGTGACGTCCCAGCACCGCTGCTGACGTCCAACAGAGGGAAAAGCCCTCCCTAGAGCAAATAAGTGGCCGGGCTCTGCAAACCCGGCTTGGCGGGTGTCTCCTGGCAGGTATCTGGGTCCCATCTGGCCGCTGTTTACCTGCCCGCTGGAATCCACCCTGCAAACTTCCTCCTCACACGGCCCAGATAAGGCGAAGGAGCTGCGCTCGACCCCATGACGGCCTCACAGGGAGGACCCCGGCACTCTGGCCTCGCCGCTGACCCCAAGCCGGGTGGGTCGGGGGGGTGGTGATCCCCTGGGGGATGCCTTGGTCCCTGCACAGGGCATTGCTGCGGGCAACAGAGTGGATCCCAACAGGGTTTTGGGGAATGCGAGCACCCAGCACCCAGCCGCTGCCAGGTCCCCAAGCCCAGAGCCGAACCCTGTTAACACCAGCCCAGCACTGAGCACCCCAGCAGCTGCAAACCGGTGTCCAGGGAGCAGGCAGGGCTGCTGTGTCCCCTTCCAGGAGGGTTCGGGCAGGTCATGACATCCCCATCGCTGCCTCAGTTTCCCCCTTGGCCGGATTCGCCTGCCCCGCACGTCCCTCCCTGACCCGCGGCGCTGGCTTCTGCGGCATGCAGGGACCTGCCGCCACGCAGGGAGGGGACCGCGCCGGGTACGCGCCCGGCCATTACGCTGCCTGACTCAGGCAGGACCCTGCCTGCCATTTCCACTGCCGGCGGCTTCAAAGGCAGCCAGGACCGCTCAGCCCCTCGGTGCAAACGGGACCCACCGGCTGCACTGCTCTGGGCATGGGGGGCACCGAAAAGTCCCCAACCCACTCCCATCCCATCCTGCAACTTGCACTGAGGTCCTACATTCACCCCACGGGACAAGGGGACCAGCAGGTGCCTGGCCACAAGCTCAGCCCCATGGTTCAGCCCCTGGGACCCACCAGCCCTTTCTTGGGTGCTGCCAAGGAGATGAAGGACCTCCCCTTCTCCTCATCCCCCTGCCTCCAACTTTTGCAAAGGGGAGTTTCCAGCACAGCCCTTGCTACTCAGGTGGCTGGATGAGGGGGAAGTGAGGCTGAGACCCGACACACTTCGTTACACCTTGCAGTGAAACACATCCGCACTCTCGCTCTTCTTGCAAGCAGCTGGGGCTTGCAACACTCGGGGCTGTGTTTCCACCTTTACGGAGTGGGGAAACTGAGGCAGGGCAAGCAGGTGCCCACGGGGTGATGCAAGCCGGGTGGGAAGGACAGCAGCAGAGCGGGGAGCGAACCCGGCCCCGGCCCCGCGCTCGCCGGCGCGTGTTGTGAAAGCAGCCGGTTATCAGAGCGCCAGCGTCACGCTCGGAGTGAGCGGCTTCCAGGAAAGGAAGGAAGTGTGGGGTCACCCAGCCCCGCTGCCGCCCTTTTCCAGCAAACAGCCCGGGCGTGCTGATAACGGGGCCGTGCCATCAGCCGCGCAGGAATTCGGGGCCGCCAGCCGCACACGCCACCCAAAACGCGAGATTTCCCCCCGCTTCCTCTCCCATAAAAGCTGGCCGTGGTGCCGGTGCCAAGGCCGCCTGGCTCTTGTGCGGGACACGGAACAGCATCACGCATCGGCAATGCCCCAGTTCTACCCCAGTGCTTCTTACTGGTGGGAACTGGGAGTCACCGGGCTGGGTTTGCTCCTGGGCTGCGCCAGGGGTGTGGGAAGGTGCTCAGAGATGTGTTTCCCGCTGGGCTGCCCCGGCACAAGGCGGGTAACCCCGGTGCAAGGTTGAACCGGGACGCGGCAGGGCAAGGGGGTGCGAGGGGGAACTGCTGCTCCCGCACGCCTGGGTCCTCTCCCACCACCTCCTGCCGGACACGGTGCCGGAGACCGGCAAAGCAGCAGGACGTCGGGCAGTCCCACCAAACTAACAGGGCCCCAGAGTAGCGTCGGGGCAGGATCCAACCCCCCTGCCACCATCCTGCCATGCAAAGTGCCCCAGGAGGGAGCAGGGACCGGAGCCTGGAGCCTGCTCCACCCCGATACCGAGAATAATTACATGATTATGCGATTTGGAAGCAAAGTGCAGATTAATCTCTGATCTCGTTAGTCCGTGTTTTACCATCTGCTTTGTACAGGCAGGAGAAGCCCTCGTCCCGTGGCGCAGCCGGGGAGAGGCGAAGGAAACCCCCGGGACAGAGCCAGAGTCCCACAGCACAGCAGGACCCAGGTGCATCAGGACATGGGTGCTTTAGGAAAGGGGTGCATCGGGACCCGAGCACCCTAGGACAAGCAGATGCCACACAAGGCACCAGCTGTCACCCACGGCCACTTGCCCCAGCCCCAATTCCTGGAAGCCAAGCTGGATCCGGCTTGGCATGGGGCAGGGCTGCGCTGGGACTCCTCCTTTGACCAACAAGGGCAGGCGACAGCGGTGACGGTCCTGCGCTCCCCAGAGTCTGCCGGGAGGGAGATGCCGGCGTTCAACTCATGGGGAGGGATTTATTATAGTCCAGGTGGGATAAAGAGATGGAGGGATCGGACCGATGGCACGCAGGGGGTCTGTGGCAGAGGAGGGGATGGCCCTACATCTCCTGGGCTCCTCAGGGGCTTCCCTCCACCTCCTCCACTCGGGATTTTTTTGCCAAGCAGGCAGGGAGGGCGAGATCTGCCTTCTGTTATGCTCTCACCAAGGGGCCTGCGCCTGCCCCAACAGCCCGGGTGCAGCGTCAGGCCCAGCCTTTGCACCAGGACTGCTCCGAACCTCCGCACCCAGTGAGGGGAGAGCCCGGTCTGCAGGCTGCCCTTGTGGGGACAGGGCTGGGTTTCCACCGGGATTTCTCCGGGCTGGGGGCAAGACCCTGGCCTGGCTCCCTCCGGCACCCAGAGCCCCCCAGGGTAATGCTGCGGTACTGACCGGTGCCCAGGAACCTCCGTGTCCCCAGTGGGGCTGAGCCACCAGCGCCTGCACGTCACGGGCATCACGGAGCATGGGGTACAGTGCTCCTTCGCCCCCATTGCCCTGGGGTGTGGGGGGTCCCAGCGTCCCGCTGAGCTGCGCAAAGGGATGAAGGCCGAACCTAATTGCCCATCGCATATCCCGGGGGTCACCGCTGTGACCTGTCCATCCCATCTCCGCACCATCTGCCCCACGTGGCAATTCAGCCTCCTCCAGCTTGGAAACAGCGTCCAGCCTCCCGGGAGCCTCCCGGGAGCCTCCCCTTTTCCAGCCGCAGACAAAACCCTCTCCCGCTCACCCCACGCGCTCCCCAGCCGCGTGTCGGCTAAAGGCCCGGGAAAAGATGAAAGGGATTTCCCAGCTGACCTCCTCACCCCGCACTATTTGCACCTCCTTTCCCGCACGCAGACAGACATTTTTCCCATGCTCAGGGGGTCAGCGCCCTCCCTGCACTCCCGGCCGGAGCAATGCCAGGAATGTACCTGGGAATAGGCAGGGCTTTGCAGGGCGGAGGGGGAAGAGGAGAGCCGGGCCCCCTCTGGTCCCCCACCAGCCACCAAAATAATTTTTATAACCTTTAAAAGGTGCAAACACTCTGCAGAAAGAAACCCGTTCTGCCAGGGCAGGCTGAGGGTGCCCAGGCACCCTGAGCCTTGGATGTAGCTATTATTTTGTGTCCTTTCCCCCCAGGTGATGCCACCCAGGCTGCCGGCCCATGGTGCTGGTCACCGGTGTTACCGTAAGTGTATTTCGGTATCACCGGGCCGGATCCTGAGTCCCCAGGCATGGTCAGGGGTCTTGCCTGGGTGCAGGGTCTCCCCCTGCACAGCCAACGGTGCAGGTGCACCCGCTCAGCCTCCTCTAAACAGCACCTGGGCTGATCCCATCCACATCTTCCCTGACTTGCAAACCATTTTTTGCCCTTTCATCCCCTTTTTGGGGTGGAATAAGCCCATCTCCCCCCTCCAGCCCCGCAGGGGCTCCTTGGCCCCTCCGTGCCTCAGTTTCCCTGGGCTAAATCAGGGAGAACAGCCTGTCCCTAGCACACACCCCAGTGAAGCGGAGCCCAGTTGCCCAGGGCGGGCAGCCAGGTCGGACCCTGCAGCATCCTTGGCCCATCCTGAGGGCTGCACTTCCACCCTGCGACGGTCCCTTCCCAGCTGTCATGTCAAAGACAGAGGATAATAGGGAATAACACAGGAGAAATGCATTTCCCTCCCCTCTTTCCCACCTTGACCTTGCATCACCCAAAATAGCGACAAAGGGGAAATGAAAATGAAGTGTTTTGGGACAAAACCTGGACCCCGGCTCAGGAGGTGGTGGGACGATACCAGGCGATGCCCAGGTCCAGGGGCTGCTCCTGTCACCCGACAGGGTACAAACCCCGCACCCAGGCATGACGCCCAGCCCATGCCCCCTGCACAGAGCCCTGTGTCTCCGGCTGCCCGCTCCCTGCTGCTCGTGCCCTCTCTCCCTGCCCCTTTCCCGGGCACCCAGCGGGTGGCACAAACCCTCTGGGAGAAGCGGATTTTCCTGCCTGTGCACAGGGATGATCAGGGCGTCTGTAACTCAGGGGGACGGGAGGGATGGGAAAGCTCCTGGGGCTACGGGAGGACACGGAGGGGAAGCCAGGCCGGGCACCCCAGGACACGCCATGCGTGCAGGGGACGGGCTGCTGGGACCTCGCTGCGGAGGGGCTCTCGGGGAGGAAACCACGCAGGGGCCGGGGGCAATCGCCCCGCTCTGCTCGCCAGGGACGGGATGCAGGCGGTGCGTGGCCCGGGGTCCCCACCATCGCCCCAATGCATCCCTCTTTCCCCTCCGCTCTGCAAGAGGGTTTGCTTGTAAACAGCAGCCCCTGGGTAACATTTTTAATCCCTCGCCTCTTGGCTATTATTCATCCCCAGCTAACCTTAAAGCCTCCCCCTTTTTCTCTGCGAGGCACCCCCAGAGCAGAGGAAATTCCTCAGCCCTGACGTGATGTGAAACACGAGCGGCTCGGCCCCAGCCGCCCCCTTCCCTGCCCCAACCTCGCCGGGCCATTTCCCAACCCAGGTTTCCCTGTAGCATCCCACCTTCAACCACCCTTTTCTGCTTTAGACATTGTAACCCGAGAGGCTGGAAATGCAGCTCCTTTCATCTTCCATTTCCCACATCCTGAGAGTCTGGGGAGAAGGAGCCCACCCAGATGAAGGAATCCCAAATATGTGGCTCCCTCCACCTCCCCGATCCCCTCCGCCGCCCTCCGTGCGGCTCCATTCACAAAGCAGATTAGCCATGCTGCCGCCTCCCCGCACACCTCTCCCAAAAAGCCCGCGCTAAAAGCCAACACACACACAAATTTAAAATTAATAAAAAGAAGAAATCCCCGCGCCTGCTCCTCCCCCGGGGAGCGGGATGGGCCTCTGCATCTCCTGCCCCGCCCGCGGGTCCCATCACCTTGCTAAACCGGCGGGGATTGGCACCCAAAGACGCAGGACCGGGTGCTGCCTTAGAGGGGTTTCGGGGTGCTCCAGCACACCAGCGAGGGCCTTTCCCCGCCCTGTCCTCGGGTGACTCCAGCCCAGGATGGGACATGCGGTTCCCAAGCTGTCACAGCTGCATTGGGGTCTCAGCTGGGTCTGGGGGGACCCCCGGGACCCGGAGGACGGGGAGAGGATGGGAAGCAGCACCCAGCCAGCACCCTGTGGCTGAGCTGGCTCCCGGCGTCCACGATCCCGACCCACATTTGGGGGGACCCCAGCACCTCTGCAGCCCCCCCAGAGCGTCCGTGCACCCCGGGATTGGCCGTATCCTGCAGGGTGATGCCCGTCACTTGCACCGCAACGATGCTGGGGAATGCACACGCATTTTATTGCATTTCCAAAGTCACCAGTGAGACACCAAGGTGCCTTTTCGCTGCCGTAGAGGTGACTTGAAGCGGGTGACGGCACATTGGGGGTGTCCCAACCGCAGCACCCATTGCCTGGCCGAGGGCAGCGCCCGCTTCCTTGCCGGTGCAGCCAAGGATTGCTCACTGCGTGTAGGTGGGAGCATCTTTGCTGGTCCAACTGAGGAAGGTTTCACACTTTCCCCGAGGACCAGCAGGTCCGTCCGTGCTGCCGCTTCGCCCCACGCCCTGGGCCAGCCGGTTCTGCGGGCGGCCGAGCCCGAGCGGAGGGAGCCACGGGAGACGCAGCCAAGGTCACGCAATGACTCAAAGCTCAGGCTAGGAAAACCACAGCCTTTCTGTGTCACGGCTTTAATCGCCCCGCAATCCTCCCCTCCCTCCTCCAGGGATGCTGTCCCCTCCGGAGGGGGACGCTCATGGGGCTGATATGGGGTTGTGCTCCTGGCTTGGCATTGACCTTGCTATTTTGTCTGCAGGACACCGGCAGGAACTTCAGTTTTAACCCTCCACGTGCTACAAATCTGCTCCCCCTCCACCCCAGGGACTCCGTGGCAGCAAATTGCCCCTCTCTCCCCGCTGGGTATCGCCCTGGCCCTCCCTATTTTCACCTATTTGCTAATTGTGCTGGCGGGGAAGGCGAGGGGGAGGAAATACAAAAAGTAAACTGCTAAAGCAACACTGCAGCTCCAAGGGCCCAGCACAGCAATCAAGCGATAAAGCAGTAATTAAGCCTGATTATCATGCAAGGCAGCCCCGGTTAGACTGGAATGCCGCTGAAGAGCCCGAAAGCTGCCGGGATTGTTTGCAGTGCCGAGAACTGATCTTTTGATGTCTGCTGGGAGCTCCTCTCCCGCAGGCCTGCCACCAGCACCATGTGCCACCCCGGGGTCCTGCTTCTCCCCCCCGGGCACGGTCCCGCTTGGGTTTTTCCTCCTTGCAAGCCCTGTGAGCTGCAAACTGCTCCCCAGGGGCTCACGCCAAGCTCTGGGTTTGACCAAGGGGTGGAAAGAGGCAGCCTGGGTCAGGGATGCTGCTGCCCGGTCGGGGCAGGACCTTGCAGTCCTGCTTGGACATCCGTGCGTCCACACAAGTGCAAGGCACACTAAAAGACGCAGGCTGCTCTCCTGCACCCGCCGTCCTCGGCGGCTTTCATCCCGGAGGAAGAGGGTTGGGAAAAGAGGTGATCCCTACAGAACGAGGGCAAAGCTGGTAGCAAGCAGGATGGGGTTTGTTTCATGTTAGCTTGAATGTCTGACGCATCCCAATGGCCTCGCCCGGGCTGGCAGGGGAAGGGTGAGTACGTGGGATGGGCTTGGGGGGAAAAGGTGGCTCCTCGCCCCGGTTTGGGGTCATTTGGGGAACAGGGATGCGTCTGGGTGGGTTATTCTGGGAAGAGATGGGTACGGCTGGGAAACAGGGCCACATCCCTGCTCCGCACGGCCAGGGCATGGAGAAATGTCTCCCCATCGCCTCCAAGACAAGGGGTTTTCCCCAACCCAGAGGGGATGCAACCCCTCCGTGCCGGCAGGAAGAGGCGGCCGCTGACTCAGTCCCCCGGGGAAATTAGCATTTGGGCAGGTTTACGCACAAGGATGATTTGGCCCCAGATCATCCGGGTTGCAAGACACGCTGCTCCCTTCGACACTAATTAGCAGGTTTGGGCAGAACAAGGAAGAAGGCTGCACCTCCCAAGGAGGTCAGGGGAAGGCAGCCCCCAGGAAAGCCCTGCCGCTCCCGGGGTGAGCTTTGTTTGTCAATAAAGAGCCTGGGTTTCCAGGGCAGCCCCTTCCGTACCTTTCATCATCCCGGCAAAGAATTTGATAATGAGTTTGGGGCCAGATGCTGAGTCACCTCGTCCCATGGCTGAGCACCGACTGGCAGAACCAGTTGTCCCAAATATGCCCAGGCGTCGGGTGGGAATAAGGCAGGAGAAAGGCGCTGCCCGCCCCTCTCCTCCACCCTCAGCTTGCATCACCCCAAATAACAACAATAATATATTTAACATTAAAAAAAAAAAAAAAAAAAAGGATGAAGGCTGCTGCGTCAGATTCTCCACACTTTTCCCCAAATAAAAATGTCCCTTTCTGGGTAAAAACCAACGTAGGTTTTTCAGTTTTTAGTTTTTTAGTTGTCTCAGCCCCTGAAAGAGGATGTGCCGTGTTCTCGGTAAATCTAAAAGAGGCAACGGTGGTGGCAAGCCCTTCCCGGCCAACGCAAGGGCTGAGCCGCAGCTCCGTAGCCGACTCTGGGGTTTGCATTTTGGTTGTGTTTTATTATTTTCTTAAAAAAGAAATACTAAAGGAGTCGGGAGCTCACCAGCATTTCCAGTAAACCCCATTCGATTTCAAGCAATTCATCCCACAAGTATGTGTGGGATGCTGGGAACTCCTCGGTCTCGCTCGGACGCAGGAGCCCAGATGGGCTTCGTCTGGAATAATTCAGCTCCCGGTGGCTGGAGCTCTTTGCTCTAAATGCTAATAGAGTGAGTAATCAGAGACCTCCATCCAGTAAATTATTTATCTTATCTCTGGAACTCGGGAAAGCATCTCAGCCAGCGACTTCTGCGGAAAAAAAAAAAAACAGGGGGAAAAAAATTTAAAAAAAGGGTTGTTAGTCAAGAGTCCCCAGCTGGAATCGCCACTTTTACTAGAAAAGGGAAAAGTTCAGACACCGGCTTGCCCGCGATGAAGTAACAGCAGTGCGGGATGAGCTGGCGGGATGGGGTCCGGGGGATGCCGAGCACCACCGGGAAGCTGTGAGATTGCAGGAAAAGATGATAAAGTGAAGAATGAGCTTAAAAAAAAATTGGGATCTTCGCGTGGATTTGGGGAGGAAGAGGAGCTCCGTGACTTCCACCCGGCCGGGTTCTGCCACCCCGGCCGCGGGGACGCTGCGGCCGGACGGGGAGAGCGGGCAGCACGCCCACGGCCCCCGAGAGCCCGATCCCGGGGTGGCGGCGGGGCCGGGACCGGCCTCGCATGTCCCCGCACCGCCGCTCGGGGGGGGGGCCTTGTGTGGGCCCCCCCCCCC